CATTAACCCAAATCCAATAAACTATCATCTGAGGTTATGTCATGTAACTGGAATAGTATATAATAGATATATAGTATATATTTAGTATACAACATATATATTTTATATACAGTGTATATATATACACAATATATATTCGATATACATGTAGATAATGTTTTAGTAATAACATAAAGGGTCTATCGTATATGGGTAAGGTTGGGTACCTTATCTTGGTAACACTATGCATACGACCCACTTTGTAATAGTTACAAATGACTTGATTTAGGTTATTCGTGTGGAGACATGCGAGTGGGGGTATCCTATACAATAAGTTTGTATAAGACCGAACCGCGAAAAAATTAATCTTTAGCTATAACACCGTTAGCTAATAGATTAATATTTCAATAGGATGACCAGGTAACTCAATCTCAATCCTGATATTGAGTTATGGACTACTGCCTGTTAGAGCTCGTCCTTTGATTTGTATGAGTGAGAGTGACCCGAGTTGCCACTCAATATTCCTACCATTTTGGAGACGAGATCAAATGTGGAGCTGGGAACATAACTACACAAGATAAAATTCACTCCTTCCCAACTTTAAGGTAAGTAGATGAGTGTTCTCTTAAGTGCTAACTCCAAGACTTGAACAAGGGGCCCCACCCTCTCACTGGCTCGAGAGGGACTTCCGGTTATTGGTCGGACCATAACCGGGTTGTTCATTAGATGATCAGTGGTACTTAAGGTACAAGATGTAACACAGGGGTAAAATGGTAATTTGACCCGACTGTGGTTATGAACACTCGTGAATGATTGACTTGCCGTCAATATCCATGGACGCAAAATATTCTTCGGTGTGAAGAGTGCAGTTGTGGATCTTTAGTGGAGTGATTCACAGTAAACGAATGTTGGTTACTTTGGTTAATGAGTTTAATCATTTAATCTTGTATCATTGGAGCTTCTAATATGTAGGTCCATTAGGTCCCCCCACTAGCTCACAACGAGTAAAACAAGGATCAAAGTTTTTTTTTTTAAAGAATTTTAATTGTTAATGAGGGATTGTAGGTTAATTGTATAAGATACAATTAACATAATGTATATGGATGCATTATAATATAAAGTTAATTTTGAATGCGATTCAAAAATTAAACTATATAATATGAGAGTAATATTTGAATAAGATTCAAACAATAATTAATATGAATTAGATTCATATTAAAACTATAGGTTAAAATTAATATGTATGAGATTTACATTAAAACTATAGATTATGAGAGAGGTATGCATTTGAATATGATTCAAATAAAGTATTAATTAAATTTTGATAAAAAAAAATAAAGTATTAATTAAATATGAGATATTTAATTAAAGTTAATTTGATAAATTAATTATTTTTTATTTAATTAAGTTAAATCATATTTAACTTAATTAAATATCCCATTTCCTTGTATTTTGCAACGGGGTGGGAAATGGGTGAGTGAGGAGATTACTTCCTCCCTACTCCTTCCCATTCTTATAAATGCACTTCACTGCATTTTAGGATGGTGGATTGTGTTTTTGAGTTTTTTTTTGTTGAAAAACCACAACTCTCTCGGGGTAGCCCTCTCTCTCAAATCCAAACTTCTCTCAGTTTCAAACGTCGGTTCCCACAAATCAGTCCTTCCCGAGAGAATAACGGGGAAGACTTTTTGGTGGCGTACAGGTTCAACATCGTCATTTTTGAAGAAGTGTCTTCAATGTATGTTTCACTACTTCACTTTAATCATGCTTATGTCTTTTCTTTGTCGTAATTCCAAAACAAGATCGAAACACATGCGTTCACTCGCGTCCGCTGCGGGATTCGATCCCTTTTGGAGGGTCCATTGTATGGAATCAAAATCAAGACAAACTCCATAAATGGATAAGAATTTCTTAGGTTTTGCTCCAATATTTTTCTTCCCTATGTCGGGATAATTGGGGTGGACTTGTGAGGTCTAAAAATGGTGGGTCACACTTATGGGAAATTGTTAAGCTAGTTAGYAATTTTCTGACCAAATAAACGGTGACTAATGACTATAGGCATAAGAATTATTCCGGCGTAAGATTTAGTTGAGAACGTCTCACATCAGTGAAGGAGTAGCTGTCTGACCTACTGTAGTTGTTCTAAATCACTTAAGTGTCATTGCAAAACAATTTTGTTAAGATGCTTGATTACCTTTGTTAAAATTTGATTGGGTTTAAAAGATAATGCATGAAACTAATATAGATTTTTTTTTATTTTCAATATGTCGAGTTCTATTATTGCTTTTTTAGCCATTGAAAAACTTAATAGCAAGAAATACAAATAGTGGAAATCGAACCTAAACACTATACTTATAATAGATGATCTTAGAGGAATGTCGTCAAGCTCCTACGACTAACGCCACTGTGGCGGTAAGGCCAACGTCTACATCTTGGCGAGCATATCTGATGTGTTTGCTAAGAAGCACGAGAACAAGGTCACCACCAAGGAGATCATGGACTCGCTGCAGAGCATGTTTGGACAACAGTTCTCACAGGCTCAACACGAAGCCCTTAAGTTCATCTACAACTCCCACATGTATGAGGGCTCATCAGTGCGAGAACATGTTCTCAACCTGATGGTCCATTTCTAGACCAACACGAGTCCTTCCAGCATGCTTTGTCCTCACTCACATGCTTCCTAGTAAAGCAACTAGGAAGTCACCCAACCTAAGATTGCTCCAAGCCAAGCACGCTTAACTTTGGAGTTCTTACGATTGAGCCATCGAAAAGGAAGGTGCACCTTGTTGGTATAAATAGTGACTATCAATTCTTTTTAACCCTTTATTGACCATTCTTTAATAATCTCAGGATCCCTCTCATTCGGATGTGGTATCGGTTCATTCATGTACCCCTCTTCTCGGGCGTCATAACTTCAATGTGGCGGAGACGAACGGAGCCATCATAGACGAGCAGAGTCAAGTCAGCTTCATTCTGGAATCTTTTCAGAAGAGTTTCCTGCGAATCCGCAACAATGCAGTTATGAATAAGCTGGAGTACACTCTTACCACGCTCTTAAACGAGTTGCAGACCTACCGGTCACTTATGAAAATAAGGGGCAGGATGGGGAGGCAAACATTACCACGTTCAAAATGTTCCACCGAGGTTTGACCTTTGGAACTAAGTATGCACCCTCTTCTTCTGGAAATAAAACGAGACTTTCAAAAAGAAGAAAGGCTGTTGTAAGGGGCCCAAACCTGACTCCGCTGCAATTGCTGCCAAGAAAGGCAAGGCTAATGTTGTAGACAAGGGAAAATGTTTCCACTGCAACGTGGACGGGCATTGGAAGCGTAATTGCCAGAAATACCTGGCTGAGAAGGAGAAATCTAACGAAGGTAAATACGATTTACTTGTTTGGGAAACACGTTTAGTGGAGAACGATGACTCCGCCTAGATATTGGATTTGAGAGCCACTAATCACGTTTGTTCTTCTTTTCAGGGAATTAGTTCCTAGCGGCAGCTTGAAGCAAGAGAGATGACTCTCAAGGTCGGAACGGGAGAGGTCGTCTCAGTTGTGGCAATATGGGAGCTCAAGTTGTTTACAAACAAAAGTATGTATATATTCTTAGATAATGTGTACGTAGTTCCAAAAATTAAAAGGAACTTAATTTCAATTTCTTGTTTATTAGAACTTTTGTATTTCATTTCTTTTAATTCAAATGAAGCGTTCATTTTTAGAAATAGTTTGTATATTTGTTCTGCTAAACTTGAAAACAACTTGTATGTGCTAAGACCAACTATTACTAAAGTAGTTTTAAATACTGAATTGTTTAAAAATGCTAAAACTAAAAAATAAAGCCAAAATGTTTCTCGTAAAGAAAATACCACTACTAGAAAGTTGGGTTTTCGTGACGCTCATGAACAGTAAAATACTGTTCAACATAAAAATATGCATCACGAAAGGCAAAAAATGCATTTTTGGAGGGAAAAACGGAGATTTCCAGATATTTGACCTTTCGTGACGTTTTTTAACCGTCCCAAAATGGTCGTAAGAAAGTTGGTTTTTTGTGACGTTTAAAAAACGTCACGAAAGGTTGAGGCGCGTTTTTGGTGGGAAATGACGGAGTGTTCCGAATTTTTTACTTTTTGTGACGTTTTTCTAACCGTCACGAAATGGTCGTAAAAAAGTTGGTTTTTCTTGACGTTTAAAAAACGTCACGAAAGGTTGAGGCGCGTTTTTTGCGGGAAATGACGGAGTGTTCCGAATTTTTTACCTTTCGTGACGTTTTTCTAACTATCACGAAATGGTCGTAAAAAATTTGGTTTTTCGTGACGTTTAAAAAACATAGAGAAAAATAGATAAAAAAAGTAATTAATTAACTTAAAAAGAACTTTGAAGCTAATTTGATGGAATATACTATTTCTTTTAGGGTTTGTTATAATTTAACTTAACAAAATATAAAAACCTAAAATTTAGGTGGTAGAAATTCCCACTAAGTAAATTTTGAATCTCATTAAAAATAAATATTATTTTTGTATTTCTATTTCATTTTAAATAAAAATATTTAGGAATGGGTCAATTTCCATTATTTTATATTATTTTTTCACCCTATAACGCCACGCGTTTCGGGTTAGTTTGCTTTTAAGATTTAATTTGTACTTTCGAATTTTCTCCTAAGCTGATAATTTAAATCCTTTGATTTTCTAAATTCAAAGTTCTATTTTTTGGTAAGTTGGAATTTAAATTAGAATTTAAGTTTAATTTTGTTGGACCAAGATAAATTAAGTTAGCGAATTTTACAAAGAGAATTTCAATCCAGTCTTAATTCAAAGTTTTTTAGATTTTATTCTTCTGTTTTTAAAATTAAGTTATTGTCTTGAATCCTTTCCCAAACACTTTTTATTTTAATTAGATTTTTGATTTTAGGAGTATCTCTCTTGATTTTTTAAAACATTAGCCTATTGGTGGTGTATCATGGATCATCGGTTTCTTTTGTTAAATAAAAGAAAATAAAATAAAAACCCTAAACACCACTACAAATCTGGGTTTTAACCCCAAAAATATTTTTCTCCCAAAATTTCTGCCTCCCACCTCTCTTCGCGGCGAAACCCTCCATTGTCGTTCTACTCGTTGCCATGGAAAGGGGGTGTGAACGGCCACGATCTGGCTGCACGAGTGACGATCTGGCTGCGTCAGTGACGATCTGGCAGTACGGAGCAAGGGTCCAAAGACCATTTACGACAATGAGCGGGAGTGACGATTCACGGCTACGAGCGACAAACCGACGGTAGGGTTATTGGAAATAAAGCTACGATTCTTCCATTCTTGAACACCAAAGGTATTGTTTCATTCTTTATTCTTAAGCAATGGTAGGTCAATTTCCATTCAATCCTCTCTGTTCCCTTTAATGGCTTACACTCCCTCTTTCTGTCTTTATTGGCTAAATACTCTAATCCATAGTTGACGGGCTTCCCTTTCGACTTCCCTCCAACTCTATGGGATTAAAAACTAACTCAAGATTTAGGGGGAAATAATGGAGATGGATCCCGGGAACCTTTTTCGCATCTGTTTAGATTTTTGTATAATTTTATAGCAGCTTTGATTATCGGAGATTTTCCTCCTTGATTCATCACAAATTCACCGATAAGAATTAATGTTTGAGTTTGACATGTTCTTTAGATAAATTAGAATATGTTTGGAYTCTGAYGCAATTGCTCATTATTTTAGTCCATTTTATTGTTTTGTATATCGGCTTTTGAGAAGGTTCAGGTGTGGTTGAATGTATCTGATTCCAAAAGCTTCAGAGACCCACCTAAATTTAAATTTTGAATCTGGGAGCTTGAAATTTTCAAATAAACCATTGCTTTATTCACATCAAGCYGCRTTTGAGTGTAATTCTTCATTATTCATCACAGCCTCCTCCTCCCCAGCTTGGCCTGGACGAGCTGTCCTGAAGCCAGGACGTAAGAAATGGGAAGKCCAGAAGCCTATCTCCATTGCATTGGTTCCATTGGAACTCAGATATGTGGTTGCCAACTACTTGTGTAAGACAAAACTATTTTCCAACCTATGTGTTATTGTTGCTCGTGCCTGCATAATTGAGTGTGCACTCTCTTATTAAGTTATTTTGTCTTAAATCTCAGCTTCTCATTGGGGGTGATTTCTGTACAAATAATATTCTGTACAATTGTGGATTGTTCTTTGGTTGGAATTTTGTAGTTTAAAATTATTCTGACGTTGAGGTTTTATTTAACATTGTGTTTGAGATTTTATSAGAGTTGTTTTTCTAACCCAACTCTTAGTCAAAATCTCTTATCTTACTAAAACTTCATTTATTTGATTCAGTAAATAATCCATCCTATAGCTGAATCAATGCAAGATACTTTCTACTTTTTTGGGGCCCAGTGTTGGACATCAGGTGAGCTTAATTAAATGGACCTAGAAGAGAGAATTGTGTTTCCCATAGAATTTGCACCATCACATTCTTCCGTTTTAATAATAATGGACAATTTTCAACATTTTCACTTTTCTATAATGGACAAGCAGGTCAGCTTAATTAAACCAAAAAGCTAAACCAATTGTTATGGCATATAGTAGCAATTCTAGGACTTGTTAATTCAATGATGGCTTTGGTGGATATGGGAATTCATATGTGGATTTTGATGTTGGCTTTGGACCTTGCCCGTTAGGTCGCCAGGTGGTCTTGGTGGTTATGGGGGTTTTGGAAGTAGTAGTTAGGAGGCTACTGAGGTTGAATCATCCATTGGTTATTCTAGTCATTTTGGACCTTACAGTGATGGGTTTGGTGGGGGATATGACACGAGTGGCTTAGGACTTAGGAGGAGATGGTCAAAGGGTTGATCCTTTGGTTGTTATTCAACTTTTTATTTTGTCTTGTTTCCTTGTGACCAAGTAACAAACCACCAAGGTGGAATAAAAAGCAAAATATGAAATTGACTTTGTAATTATAAACTTTGATCCAAACTATTATACTGTTGCAGTCTTGAAACCAAATTGTGATTACTAAAAAGGATGATCAATGTTGAATTTTTCTCCCACTACTTTTAATAATAACTAGTATAAATGCAACTTTGTTGTTTTGATGGTAYTTAWAAGTTTGTCATTTTAACATGTGGTAGGGAGTAGTATATTGGAAACCTCCAAAGCAGGCACTGAGTGAAGTAACAGAACTTGTTTGGGAGCCTTCAAATCGATGGTTGTGAGGCTGATGAAGGTATTTTGAGCTGAGAGAGGCAATGACGGGAAAGGTATATACATTTTTATTAAATTTAATAAATTTGAGTACCTTGTTGGTTCTAACTTTCCAGTTTTCTATGATTCAGAGACTTCTCTCTTACCTTTTTGGTAAGTTTAAATTTCACTTTATACTTTAGTTCAAGGAGCGAATGTTTAAATGTATACCATTGTATTTACAGGTTGAAGAATGTAGTTTATAGTATTTTGGATATAATTCTAAATTCTCATTGTCTCAGATTCATAACTTCGGGAGCTCACCATTTTTTCTATGTCATGTTGTAGGTAGCGCAATATTTCCATGGATTGTAACACTACAAGCCTTAGAGTCTTTCATATGTGATGCTCCAAAGCAAGTACAATTTATATGTTTCCTTAGTTGTATAGTTTTCATTACTTTGGCTAATTAGTTTTTAATATGTGATACTCCAAAGTAAGTTGATATTTTTATTTTGTTCATGTTATCTTCTTAATGGATCCAATCGTTGTTTCTTCCCTATTATTGATCTGCTTCGTTTCAGACTGTATATTTAGTATCTCATTTTTTTCAGGTTAACACAAGTTAAAAAATTTTAACGATGTGGCTGTTGGGAATCGAGCCCAAGTCTCCACAACCACAACGTGGAATTCTCACCACTAAACTACAGCCACTAATTTGTTATTTTGTATATCACTTAAATTTGTTTTCTAAACTAAAAGATCCAATTGATTATGTGATGGATAAAGTAAAGCTGAAATCTAAGAACGAATTGCAGGAAGCATTCAGGTTGGTGGCTAAATTTTGACACTCATTTTAAAGTGATTTTCCCACTTTATCATTAACCATGTTTTTTTAGTCATTCTCATATTCAACCACCTAACAAACTTGATTTCAAATCAAATTCATTTTCCTACCTTAAATGTATTTTAAATGCGTATGGGGATTTAGTGGAAACTAAGGTGGTATGTGGGACGATTTTGAAATCAAGTTTGTTAAGTAGTTAATCACAAACAACTCAATAAATGTAACCGCAGTATATATATTATGGTATATTGATCTCGACGGTCAATACATCAACTTAATTATCAAAATTAAAAGATTAATACATGTATTTACGAATTGAAAAATTATCAAAATAAGAAGGTCAATGTTTAGGTACATTAAGTTTTGATGGTAAGATTTCCTTACCTTCTTTAGTTTCACATTTCCTCTTACATTTGTAGCATTCTTTAAGCGCTTATCATCATCAAATTCATTTTTTTAATCTTCTGGACGTCAAGTTATTTATCTTATCATCATCTGTAGACTTATCATTCACTACATCCTCTTCACCAAACTTTGTACCATCATTTAAAACATTTGAAGAATTATAAAAATTACAAGGTCGATACATGTATAAAACATTTGAAGAACTAAAAAAATTAGAAGGTCAATGCATGTATATACCAATTGAAACATTACGAGGGTCAACACATGTCTATACCAATTGAATAATTATCAAAATTAGAAGATTAATATAGGTATATATCACTATACAACTCAATTATGAAGGTAAATACATATATAATACTAATTGAAGCCCTATCACTTGCAACAATGGATTCTGTACTAATCTCATTTCAATATGATGTTACTTGGGACAAAAACAATATCTACAATGATTTCATAATCACTCAAATTTCAATTTGTATCAATTTCAATACGATTTCTGTAATATATGCTTTGTTGAAAATGATTGTTGCATCATTGTAGATATTGACATTAACCCCATTTACCTTTAATTGTTTGTACATTTTCACAAATAATGTGTTTCCTAACTACTGCAGCTGTATTTGCACTTAGATTTCCATGGCTATCAAATATTATATAGTTTAGTTTAAATATTTACATTAAATATTTACATCAATTTGTATATATACCTAACCACTCAGAAGTGTGATACCAGTGCAACACTATAGATACCGACATTGACCCCAAATTTATCTTTGATTATTTACACATTTTTCACCAATATATATATATATCCCTAATTAACATACCCATATCTGCACTTAGATTTTCATCAATGTCAAACAGTATATAGTTTAGTTTAAATATTTGTGTCAATTAAGTATATATACTTAACCCCTCAAAAATATTTGCAACCACATGTTTTTATTCTTGTTTCCCATTTGTTATCATCTAATAAATCATCTAAAAAAGAAGTCAACACAAAAATATATATATATATATATATATATATATATATAACTAATGAATCAACAAATATGAATAAATATAGAAACATAAGGTAAATATATAATTCCATTTTTTAAGTAATTTTCTTTGATGAGTTATAAATAACATTCTAAAATTATTTTTAGAATAGCAACAATAAAACCCTAACTCTTAGGCATACAATAATTTTAATTACGATGTATTTTAAAATAAAAATTTATAAAAAGCTAAATAATATAAAACATTGATATTTTGATGCAGTGACTTTTAGATGTTTCTATAACATACAGAAACATCTTTAAGAATATTCGCAAATGATAGCACACTTTGTGAGTTACAATTCATGAGATTTATATTGAAATTATTTGTTAGTTTTCGTTTTTTGATGACAAATTTAAGCACATAAGATATATTTTGCAGGAATAAAGCATCGCGAGGAAACAAGACATACTTGGATCAAAATGAGAGAAAAATCGGAATCAAAGTGACCAAGATRGAATAACAACAAGATTTGAAGCTAAAAATTCAAGGAGATAGCGCCACGACGCTAGCCTAGAGCACCGCAGCGCTCCGAAATTTAAATTTCGCGTTTGTGAATAGTGTAGCGCCACGGCGCTGCCACGACAACTTTTTATAAAATAGGGGTGTGTAGCCGCCGAGAAGGGAGAGTTTGGGAGAGATTTTTTGACAATTTGCCTTTTTGCCCAATTTAGAGGGCAAGGAGACCATTGGAGAGCTTAGGAAAGTGATTTTCAAGGTTTGGGATCGTGGAGGTCGCTTCGGGGACGGACGATTGACACGTCGAACATAGTTTCTTCTCCTTTGTCTTGATTTTTCTAGATTTGTGTACACTGTAAAGAAAAAGAGAGACAAAAAGGAACGTTGGAAGGCAAAACTCCAGCATACAAAGCTGGGCACAGACACTTTTAATAAATAGAGAAAATAGTAAACACGTGTAGCTTAGTTATTGGAATCAAAATAACAAATAGTAAAAGCACTATAGCAACATAACACTGCGGAAAATAAATCCTTAAGCTATCATCCCCCGCAAGTGAACGGGGTGTGGGAACAACCGTGAGCTTGGTACGGATACTCATAAAACGTGGAGAAGCTAGCGCTTTAGTCATAGCATCAGCCAACTGATCCTCAGAAGGAACAAATTTTACTATCAGTTGCTTATGGGCCACACGCTCTCGAATGAAGTGATGGTCAATTTCAATATGTTTGGTGCGATTGTACATCACTGGATTTGCAGCTAGGTAAGTAGCACTAATATTGTCACACAATAGAAGCGGTGAGCTAATAAGCGGAACTCCAAGTTCATGAAGAAGTGATTGTATCCAAATGATATCAGCTGTAGCATTAGACATACCTCTATACTCTGATACGACACTAGAACGAGAAGCAACCTTCTACTTCCCTGAGTTCCATGAAATGAGGTTGGTTCCCAAAAAGGTGCAAAACCCACTGGTACTCGTCTATCATCGGGGCAACTTGCCCAATTGGCATCAGTGTAGCACATTAACGATAGAGATGCTGATTTAGTTACTAAAAGACCATGTGTCGAAGAACTTTTAAGATACCGGAGAAGGCGTTTCATAGCATTCCAATGTGATGTGGTGGGAGAATAGAGGAATTGGCAAAGTTTATTTACGAAGTAAGAAATATCTGGACGAGTGAGAGTGCAATATTGTAAGGCCCCCACCAAACTCTTATATTCATATGGATTTTCCAGGGGAGTACCATCAGCAATGGATAATGGAGTACCAGTGGCCATGGGTGATGAAATAGCTTTGGAATCAGACATGTTTGCACGCTTGAGGAGGTCAGAAATGTACTTTTCTTGCAATAGGTGAAGAGTACCAGCAGTCTTAGTTACTTGAATACCCAAAAAATAAGATAAATCACCAAAATCCTTTATGGAGAACTGATTTCCGAGAGCAACTATAAAATGAGAGACAAGAGCAGAATCGTTACCAGTTACTATGATGTCATCGACATAGATGAGAAAGATAACAATCTTGGATGAGGTCTTGTAAATAAACATGGATGTGTCTGCCTTTTGGCCCCATTCTTGTAAACAATTACTTAGCTTCATAAATCAGGCCCTCGGACTCTGTTTTAGTCCATAAAGAGATTTGTGCAAGCGTAAAACATGATTGGGATGAGATTGATCAACAAAACCGGGTGGCTGGCGCATATAAACAACTTCTGATAAGTCACCATGCAGAAAAGCATTCTTCACATCTAATTGGCGGATGGACCAATTGAAAGAGACCGCAAGAGATAGAACAATTCGAATTGATGTTGGTTTCACCACTGGGCTAAAGGTGTCAAAATAATCTATTCCATAAGACTGAGCATACCCTTGAGCCACGAGTCGTGCCTTATATCGATCAATGTCGCCATTGGGCTTAAGCTTGAGGCGAAACACCCATTTCGAACCTACTGTTTTTGCAGAATGTGGAAGTTCAACCAAGGACCATGTTTGATTTCGAAGCAAGGCATTGTCTTCATCCAACATAGCATTGCGCCAGTGATGATCATGTAAAGCAACCTTATAATTTTGTGGTTCCGAAAACTGGCAGGTGCTGGAGTTTGGGAGCGATGCCAACCATGCTTTTGGTTTAAAAATTTCAGCCTTGGAACGAGTTATCATAGGATGGATGTTGGTAGTTGTAATGGGGTGGGGAGGCTGGTTTATTGTTGGGGAAGATGGAATTGTGGAGGTGGCAGGACTATCATGTGGGGAAGAAATGGTTTGGACAGTATGTGATGGTGAAGGTGAGATAGATGGAGATGGAGTTGTTGTTGTGGTTTGGACAGTGAGTGATGGTGATGGTGAAATAGATGGGGATGGAGTGATTGTAGTGGCAATGGGAGAAGGTGATCCAATAAAAATTGGTTAGGTACGTGGGTGGTGAATAGAAACGTCATTGGAAAAAGAGGAGCAAGAAGATGAAGAATGGGTATTTGTAGAGGATAGAGGTTGAGGGAGGGACAGAGGGATTTGAAGGAAGGAGGAAATAAGGAGAACAACATGATATTCAAGAACTTTAGCTACTGTCAACGATGGATTGGTTAGAAAGGGAAATGAAGATTCATTAAAAATTACATGACGAGAGACATATACACGTCCAGAATTATAATCTAGACAAAGATACCCACGGTGATTCGAACAATATCCAAGAAAAACACACTTTGTTGTTCGGTATTGGATTTTGTTGTCATTGAAAGGGCGGAGAAAAGGAAAATAGGAGCAGCCAAAGCTTTTTAAAAGTTTATAGTCTGGCAAATTTTTGTACAGTATGGTATAAGGAGCTTTGTTGCCCAAAACAGTAGAGGGGAACCTATTGATGAGGAAGGAAGCTGTTTGAAAAGCATATGACCAAAAAGATTGGGGAATATTGGAGTGGGCTAAGAGAGACAAACCAACCTCTACTAGGTGGCGATTTTTTTCGTTCAACACGACCATTTTACTACGGCGTATGTGGACAGGAGATGCGATGATGAATTCCATAAGAAGCAAGAATGGAGGAGATTTTTCTGAATTCACCACCCCAATCTGTTTGCAATTGTTTTATTTTTAGTGGTGAATTGAATTTTGACCAAAGCCTTGAAGTGTAAGAAAGATTGGAATGTTTCATCTTTAGATTTTAAAAGATAAAGCCAAGTGAAACGACTATAATCATCAATGAATAAAAGAAAATAACGTGCTCCATTGATTGAAGGAATAGGGGAAGGTCCCCATACATCGGAGTGAACTAAATTAAAAGGAGCAAGAACCCTCGAATAAGACAAAGTAAATGGTAGACGATGGCTTTTAGCCATTTGACAGGACTTACAAAAATCAAGAGTACTACTCTTGAACTTGAGATTACATTGAGTGAGAACTTGTCTAACAACACTAGACGCTGGATGACCTAATCTATGATGCCAAATCGAAGGATCTGTAAGTTGGGAGAAAAAAGCAGCTGGAGCTTGCTTGAATGGATCAAAATTTGGGTTGGCATCTGTTGGAGAGAGTTTGTAGAGACCTTGATCAAGATTGCCCCAAAGAACAACTATATTGGTGTATAGATCCTTCACAAGAAAGAAAGTAGGATGAAATTCTACGAAAGCTCTATTATCATGACAGAGTTTGGCAATACTAATCAATCTTTTTGATAATTTAGGAGTATGCAAAACAGATTTAAGTTTTATAGGAAGAGAAGACGAAGATTGTTTAATAACAGTAGAGCCAATGTTTAAGATGGGAAGGGTAAGGGTGGGAAATAAATTAGGCATAGGATGGTGATTTTGTAGCAGAAGTTGAGGATAAAAATGCTGAGATTGTGGGTGGAAAGGTTGTTGGGCAAAAGATTGGGTAAAAAAAGGCATGGATGTCGGATGTGGTTGTTGAAAGGGAAATGAAGGTTGAGGGAGAGGTGTATTGGGTCAAACCGGCGGATTTGGTGTCGCTGATAGTGAAGTATTTTGCGGTAGAAGAGGGAAATAGTTTGGGATATTAGGGCTGGAGACATTTGAGTGATGGGGGTGTATATTGCTTCTCATACCGCCAGCTAGTGTTGTAGGGGTGACAATAAGAGGTGGTGGAGGAGGGACTATAACCGATTGGGTTGTAACACCGGTGGATGAAGTTGTACCACCACTGAAGAAGAAGAAGAAGCCATTAATTTTAGAGAAAGAGCCTCAGCTTTGATACCATGTACGACTGTAAAGAAAAGGAAAGACAAAAAGGAACGTTGGAAGCAAAAACTCCAGCATACAAAGCTAGGCACAAACACTTCTAAAAAATAGAGAAAATAGTAAACACGTGTAGCTTATTATTGGAAGCAAAATAACCAATAGTAAAAGCACTATAGCAACATAACTCCTTAAGCTATCAATTTGTCACGGACTCCTCRTTGTGATTTTATTGTTTTCCATTGCATATGAGAAGCTAAAACTTTATACATTGATTGTTTAGTTTTCTTGGTTGAATGTTTATGAATGTTCTATTTTATGCTTCTCTATGCTTAATGCCTTGAATCTACTAGTCATAGATTGATTGATTTTAGACTTGAAATCTTACGCTCGGGAGAGGTGGTTTAGAGTTAGAACTGGGATGCATAACTAAAGGGGTTTTAAGATCGGGAGATTTAGAAGTTCTTTAGAGGTCGTTAAAAGATTTGTTCAATTAAGCATTTACTTGTTATAGAAACTAGATAGGGATATTGGTTTCATAATTGGTAAGGAGAATTAGCTTGCGCTCGGGAGAGGCAGTTGAGATTTGAGAGTTCTTGGCCTATAGAATTAATAATTCGTTCAATCTTGATTAATTAAGTAGTTGGTTCATAGATTCAATAGGTGAAATCAATTCCGTAAGACCTTTCTCCCCATTGTTTTTATCTTTGTTATTGCATGTTTATTTCCTTTGATTATATTCTCTAATTTGATTTTGATTCTCTAAATAAAATTGAGTGATTGTATCTATGGTACTTGAGTGATCTAGAAACCCAATCCAGAGGACGATGTCGGTATTTGACTTACCACTTTATTAAAGCTTGACCCGTACACTTGCGGTAAGCAATTTCTGCTACAGTAAAAAAATAAGGGAACGTAGTTATGACATTAAAAAAACATTTTATTATAAATGAACCATCATTTAAGTACATTTTGAAGACAAGAATAGAGGGCTCATTCTAAGGATAGGAAACAAATATCGATAGAAAACAAACACCATCATATTCTATTGAAGTTGGTCTGCATACATCCATTGATTTGTTAATGTGAGTATCTTTGTGATGGAAACACCTCCACATTCCTCTGTACATACAAATCATTTTTCAGGTATTGACGTCTTTTATCCACAAAGTAATTTTTAGTGATTTTCTTATCCCTCAAATTCTTTTTTTTTGTTTTTTTTTCTTGCTAAAATGGTATAAATTTATAAAATTACATTTACAACTTCTTATCCTAAAAAATCTTTATTTCGCTAATTTACATATTAAAAAAATTGTTATTTCATGAATTCTCCAGCATGATCTTTATCTTCGTCCTGATTCTAACTTGCCTTTTGTGTTTCTCCCAAATTTTAAATGTTTAACTTTTATTTATTGATATTATTTTGAAAATAGCTACTTTGTAATCTTTAGTTTGTTTAATTTTGATTTTGTAAATTGATTTCGCAATTATGGTACATGTTTTCTTGCCACAATTGTTGTTGAGAAAAAATTCCTAGAATCAATCATTTGTTTATATTTTGTTTCAAGGTTATGTTTGTCCAAAAAAAATTTAGGATTTTCAAAAAATATGTAGTAATCCATTTTTATAAGAACTAATACATTGGGCTCTTTTTTAAAACGGCTATTTTAGTGATTCTTGCAGTTGCACTGTTGTAGAAAAGCCTAGCTAGTAAGTCAACTCAAGTCATTTAAGGCTCTTGGGATAGCTAGGACGATCCAAAATGATGAGTCCTTGCCACGAATCCCATGAGTCCAACACACGGGTCGTGCACCATGAATCAAGTATGTGGCCATAGACCTAGAGGTAGCCTTGAACCCATGGGTTGAGTCCCTTGGACTGCTTTTCGTGAGACAAGTCCAAGTTTTTTATTTCTTTTGAATGTCTATCAAGCCCCCAGAGTTAAGTATCTTGGATTTCGAAGATTTAAAAATAGGAGATATTAAAAAAATCTTATAAATTCCTCTCTGTAAATAGAAAGGAAAGTCTCCCATCATCAAGTACACAAAAAAACTCTATTTCTCACTACGCTTCCCACAAATCTAGTTCTAACTTATTAGAATGTGTGTGTGGCTAGTACCACACCGATGTGTAATGTCTCTATTTTTATAGGTTTCGTCAAATACTTTTATTCAAGGAGAGTGATGCTAATTTGGTCATTTTACTACGCCAAATCACGCACATAAACAGATTACAAGAGCGTTTATAGAACTCTTAGAAAGTACTCTTATGTCAATTTGAAAACATTGCCAAAGCGTTATATTTTCACTCGAAATTTCATAAATTGAATTTTTTTTAGGGGTTGAGTCAGATCCAATTTGAAATTAACCACTAGCCTTTTAAATTAAGAAGGAAAGAAAAAAGAGGACAAAGAGAGAATGAGCATATTGCCACAAGATTAGATAATTAAAGATAGCTTTATTATTTCATTATTCCATTATTCATAGATAGGGAGAACGCAACACATGTTGCATCAGTGGAGAGGAAAATTGATCACTTCAAGAAAGGCTCAATTGACAAGAATTTCCAAGTGGACTCCAACTTGTTATCCAACACCAAAATCATATAGAAATAAATGCCATTGTCGCCAGGCTTCTCCACGACCACCCTAAGCCTGTATTCTATTCCAGCAACCACTTTCCTCTCACCAAAATCCACACGATTGAAAATCAGGTTTCCTCCCGATTGCTTGTTTGCCTCCATCACTCCAAATCTTCCAAGCTCTTGCACGTATGGGTCCTTCACATCCTTAATCGGCTCCCACTGCCCCAGCTTGTGCTGCTCCACATTGTGAACCACAGCATCATTTTGACCCGGGACCGCTACCGAACTCATCTCGTTAGGTTTGCTAGATAGTTCAAAGAAAGTTTGTTATCGTGGCTTGCTCTCGATTAACTAGGAATTTCCATATTTATAGTTAAGTCGTACCGAGATATTGATATGATCGAATCTGATTCCTGGACCAGCTATGAATTCAATAATGGACTATGATATTTTGTGGAATTGTATTCTATTTAATTCTTAGGTATTGCTATTTTTTTATTTGTTTTGTCTTAATCGACCAATAAAATTCGCGTATAGTTTAAGCATTTTAGCGTGACGTTCAATTCATGGCCTACCAATTTGAATTTTGAAGTTTGAGTATGCATAATATTATTCGAGTTTAAGTTGGCTTGAATTGTTTGAGTTATTATTTTTAAATTCAGTACAAGAGGATGGTAGACATGCTAATTTTGAAGATGTATATGATCTGAATGAATGGTCAATCCCCAATAAAAGTCTTTGATTAGTCCCAGACTATTTAGAGATAATTATTTTGATAAATTGATTTATTTACATTCATAATTAAATTAAGAAAAAAATAATGACTTGACAATTCACGATTTTTCCAAATTTGTAATGATTAAGAGAAACAAAAAAACAAAAGGTATAAATTGGATCCTAATGTTTATGGAAATTTTACGTTTTGTCTATAAGTTTTCTTAAATAATCAAAAGTTTCGTTAATGTATTCATAATTTTTTCGATGGGATCAACCCCTAATATTTGTTAATAGAAAATTGAAGTATCATTAAGAAATTTGTTAAAATATAATAATTTTAATGTATTAATTTTTCCCATCATATCCTTTGATATATAGTTTTGATAAACTTTGTAACAGTCGTTTTCTCTTACTTGGATAGAAATTCGACATTTAACGTTGTGGTTGAACGAGTAGTAATTGACATCATAGAACCTGATTCTTGGACCAGAGAAATTAAAATGAACTTCATATCATAGAATCTAAATATGTGGACCGAGAATGCCAACAGAGTTTACATGGTTTAGGTGAGATAACTCTGCATCTTTAGTTGGGACCATGAATTTTTTTTGTCTTTAACCTTTTTCTTTTGGTTATCGTGCACCATCAAATTGTACTTAAAAAGTAAGCAGGTCCCAAGTATTCATCTCCAAGTTGATTATATTACTAATTGCCTATGAAACAAAGTTCGAAAACCAAATTAATGTTTGAGTTCATGCAACCTAAATGAGTTCGCCTAGTAGTTCCAAGGGGTAAAGATAAATTCTAAAGAATTTATAGAAAATTAGTTCAAATCATGATAACCACCTCCTTCTAATTTAATATCATTTTTTTTTGCAACTAAATGTAGTGAGTTAGATTGTTGTCTTGTAAAATCATGGGGAGGCCACAATACTCACACATATTTAAATATTTGAATCCATGCATGATAACCTGAGAGAAAGGTTATATATCCAAAAATAGAATCCCACTGCCCCACTAATTTGCGTGGAAACCAGATTTTTTTTTATTTTTTTTATTTTTTCCTTTCTTCTTCCTCTTTTCTTGACTACAAGATTTCTCCGGAGTGGAAGTATCTGAATATTTTTAATTTTTTTGTCTTAAAATTTTCAGTCTTATCGCCATGGTATTAAATATTCATTGATATGTAGATATTTCAATTGATATGTCCACATACCCATGATTCAACGACAATACGAGGTATAAATCGACATTTCCATATTTTTTTAAAAATTGACAAAAAATTAAATATATAAAAAAATATCACTAGTATTGAAATAATATTAATATTGGTTGTTTAAGGTAACCTTCGTTTTCTTCATTTGGATTGTAATGACTTAATTTGACCAATTGAGAAGTTAATATATTTACTTGAAACTAAAAATATTGGATTGTAATATTTGAAATTTAGATGAATAACGAAGGGAAGGAAACTTGAGACATAAAGAATCTGTTGAGTAGCCTAGACACAAGACCTTATCTCTTGGTTACAGTTGGATTTTGTCAAACTAAGGCTAATGATTAATAGACATATTAGTAATTGACTTAGAACTTTGAGATCTCTTAGACATAAGTAGGTTAAGAAGCAAACCATTTAATTCTTGAGGGGTGCGCCTTGCGGCCATCGTTGTGTCTAGTGATGTTTTGAGTTAAGTAGAAAGGATGGATTTCAATTTTTAAAAGTTTATAAACCAAAACCAACAATATCCGTACCTATTTCAATCATAAAACTGAAGAACTTTAAGTCATTGTGGAAATGATCTCGGAATACTTTCTATTTTATCAGTATTCTATTACTTGTAATGAGTGTGTGCTTGCACTCTATCCTTTTGCTATTAAGTAGAGGTATAACAAGTTTTTTGCGTCATTGTTGGGGAATTAGTTTTCTTTCATTGTTAAGTTTTGTGAATTGCTGAGAGGTGCCGTCGTCGCACTATTTCTGTTCTGGAAATTATTTGTCATTTATCTAACCTTGAAGGGTTGTTCGTTTAGTGTATGAGCACATGGCTTCTTTGCTGCCATTTTATTCGGAGATAGATAGAACCGTGCAAAGTTAAGGAGAGAACAAAGACTTAGCAAGAGAAAAAAATAATTAAAAAAGAGAAGGAAAAAATAGGCGAATATATTTTTATTGAAACAACCGGTAGGAGTGATTGAGATAGATTCCATTTTAGCATGGGATGCTCCAATTTCATCGATTTTTCAAATGCAACACAACCAAATAATGGGAAGTAACTTTCCCATAGCTCATGAAAACCAATTTCCTCTGTATATGTTGTAGTGAGAGCCATTCATTTGATTATTATCCATCTAACCCTCATTCTATTTAATTTTATGTCAACAAAAGAACCAGTGGAACTTGAGCCCTTATTTGAACACGTTCAACCAAAATTAGAGAGATCATTTGAATGTCTCATGAGGAAAACAACACGACGAAAGGTATTCTAATCTTGTCCAGTAATTCGAGTTGAGCAGACAGAATACTCATTATGCTCAAGGCCGGAAACACTCCACCAATTTGACGACCAATCAAACAAGAATATAGAGTATCCTAAGTTCAACCACACCAAGGAATATAATATTTGGAGGGGGATTTGTACGTAGGCAAGGGATAACAGAAATCTCTTAAATTCTATTCAACTCCATATTATTGTGTGCGTTGTGGGTGAACTGAGTAAGTTGAGCTAAGTGCAAGATGTGGTGCATTGCATTTTCAGTACTTTCTTGTGGGGTGTAAAGTGTAGTTTTGCTTTCTGTTAGAGTCGTTTACTACTTTTATTAATGCTATTTAAATTACTGTTTTCATACCTACAATATTATTTTATTAATGTCTTGCACCATTGGTATTGGCGAGCATAGTTTAAAATATCACTCTAAGTCCCTATGGATTCGACCTTGTTTATACTACAAACCGACGAATACAGTGTACACTTGCACTTGCATTCACATCGGTTGTGGACATACAACAGGTTTTTGGCGTTGTTACTAGGGATTTAGTTGTTTTTTTTTTAAGCCATACTATTTGAGAATACGGAGCTTAATTGAGTTTTCTCTTTCTTACATTCTTGTGTCGTTGTAGGCGTATAAGCAATTTTAAAAGCTTGGAATATATTATAGATCACGAAATAGAGCGTACATTCCATAGGAACCGAAGAGAACAAAAGAGAATCCAAGCTACAACAAATATGAATCCGCCTTACCCACCTTGGTGCCTACCTATTCCACCAAATTTGAGGATTAAGGAAATAGTAGATGGGGTTCCTGTTGCTGCTGACCCTGAGGCATTAGTGCTCCCTCTCAATGCTGCTTTATTAGCAGACGACACAGACAGAGGATCAGGGCATATGTGACTCCGGAATTTTACAATTTCAACCCAGTTATTACGGAGCCAAAAATCATAACTCCAAGACTTGAATTGAAGCCACCAATGTTTATATGCTTCAGACAGTGGGACAATTTCATGGACATGCTATCGAGGACCCACATTAGTATATGAAGTTTTTTTTATGGGAGTTTGTGATTCATTTAAGGTAGAAGGATGTAGCAAGTAAGTGCTACAGCTCAAGTTGTTCCCCTACTCGCTAAGAGACGTTGCAAGGACTTTGTTGGAGTCACTCCCTTCTGAGTCGATTACAAGCTGGAACGAATTTGGCTAAGAAAGTCTTGATGAAATATTTCTCGCCTAGGAAGAACACGAAATATAGAAGTGAGATAAAAAACTTTCAGCAATCTGCTGGGAAGTCAGTTAGTGAGTTGTGAGAGTGGTTTAAAAGGCTTTTGCAAAAATGCTCCCACCACGGAATCCCTCGATGCATCCAGATCAAGACTTACTACAATGGGTTGGATGATGCCACACGCCTAGTCATCGATGCATCGGCAAATGGCGCATTGCTAGCAAAACCTTATGTTGAAGCTTTTAACACCCTGAGAAAATATCATCAAATGATCACCAATGGTCTTACCCTAGAGCCATTAATGGGAAAGGAGGCAAGGGATTGAATGAATTAGAGTCCTTCACTACCTTAAATTCAAAGATAGAGAATTTGGCAAAATTAGTTATGACGAGTATGACACAACAAAACACAGCGGGAGCCTATGCTAAAGCGAATGTCAGCCATATCTAAGGGATTTTATGTTCCTTTTGCGAGGAAGAGCATCATTACAACAATTTTCTTGGCAATCCAGAGTCAGTGTATTACTTGGGAAATACTCGGAACAATAGAAACAATCCTTACTCCAATACGTACAACTCAGGCTGGAGGAACCATCCCAACTTTAGATGAGGTGGAAATCAGGGAGGAAGTAATGTTGGAACGTCCAATGTTCCAGCATATCAACAAAAAGGATACTATCCCCTAGGAATCGCTAACTAAGGTCATGGAGTAGGACAAATGCCAGTTAAAGGATCTTCGGCATCTTTGGAAAATTTGATGAAGCTGTACATAGAAAAGAATGATGCCACGGTGCAAAGTCAGGCAACATCGTTGAGGAATATGGAAATACAAGTGGGACAATTAGCAAAAGATTTGAAGAGT